ATACAGAATGATAATATCTCGGTTTTATTGATTTGCTAGGTAAAGCTTAATGACAAGCATAATACGCAAAAAATTTAAGTTAATCATAACAACTAACTGGAAATTACAGATTGGCAGAAGAATTAAAATGTTTTTGGTACTTACTGGAGTAAACAGTATGGCCCTAAGGCTGGAAAGTTTGGTGACCCCTGCTCTTGTAGATAGTCGTGCCCCGTAGCCATTCGGAACGTGGCAACTAGTGTACCGATTACGGAGTACCAATGGGTGCTTAAGTATCCATTAGTACACCATTGGTACACCCATTGGTACATTGACTACCAGACCCCTTAACCTCCTCATCTTAATTCATACATAAATTCACAATTTCGGTTGGCTGCTTAAATGTTACTATCAAATACAAGATAAAGTTTCAAAAAAATATGTATTCGGTACTCTAAAAATTAAAAAATACTAAAAAATAAATATTAAAATTAAAGTTAAAAGAATTTAAGCTTAAATTCAGTACAATTAGGCAACACATATTCAAAACTGTTACTGAGGGTGTCAATAATAATAATAGGAATTATAACCAGAAGCAACTTGAAGTCAACTGAATATGTCGATTTTACGTAGCAGCACTGCAAAAGAAATTTGATTTTGTTATTAAAAAATGATGACTAATGGAGCAGGTCAGGATCGAACCTACAACCACTAGTCTGCAACGCGCATGACAACTGGACCAGATCGCCTGTGGCAGCAGCGATTCTCATAGGGAAGTCCTTCGGTATGTTGAGGTTCTCCCAACTTTTACCCTTGGCGGCCTGCTTTCTTGTATTATTGAGGTAGATGGTCACATAAAATGAAATATGTGAAGAATTGCCATTTTTAAAAGAACCTCACCCACCAATTAGTTTTAGAGTATCTTGCTTTATAAAGAAATTCCATGGAGAATAAAAAATAAGAATAAAAACTTTCGTAAGAAGTCAAACTGAAAAAAAAAAAAAAATGTACACTACTGACCTGTGATGTAAAGAAGAATTTATATAATATTAAATATTTATAATACTTTAAATTATTTTGCGTCATATAATGGAAAATAATTCCTTATTAAAACAGTGCTGTCAATAAAAAATGTAATTGTATTTGCACAAACTTATAAACTTACTTCTGGAAGAACTTCCCATGCTGTTTTCATTTCAGCTCTAAGCATGTTACTCATAGATGATATCATAGAATCAGTAAAATTGCATGACAAAGGTTTCTCTTGGATTTTAATCTCGTCATATGCTTTTTCTCTATTTTGTTCATTACATAGAGCAAGAATTTTTGTTGAAAGATCCACCAAAGCTGTTATATCACCATGAGATAATGATTGATGTTTCGTTTCATTTGCTAACTTGAGAGATATCTGAATAGCGTCAGCACCATTATTGACCTAGGCAAATACAATTTTTATGTTAAAAAAAATGTTTTACAATATCTATAATACATTTTATAAACACTAACATTCAGACTTTAGTAAAATTAGTGCTTTTTCGACTCAATCTGTAATGAATATTTTATTTAAAAATCATAAAGAGAAAAAATATTATCATTTTATAAATTAGTAATCTTCATAAGTTCCGGAAAAAGTAATTTATTTGCTTTATGTTAAATTAAGCTATCGTGGGCTTCTACTGATTCCAAACCTATGAAGTAGTAAAATGAAACACTTTTTAAATATTCTATTGTTGCGAAGTATGCATGAAAACAACAATTAAAAAGTGACAAAATTGAAATTCTAAAGAAAAAGTCTATCTGCAAATATTTGAATGAAGGAAATGTTTTAGATGCCTTATAAAAACATAAAAATACTTTTGGATACAATATTTTATCAGTAAGCAAGATCTATTTTACATAACCAAAACTCTTGAGTGGTATCATCCAAAAATCAAATCTATACTGTTTGCCAGACCAAGGCCCATTTTATGATAGGTCAGTTTTACTTTAAAAAAATGCCACAGGTTTCGGGTTCGAATCCCGGCGGTGCCATGGATGCTTGTAGTGGTTCGGAATCCACTTTAAGCCGTAGGTCCCGGTCTTCTATAACTGTAAGAGCGTCACGGAGCAAAAGTCAGGCTTCTATCTACGGGTGCTCCATCACAACAGAAGCTGCTTCCTTCCCCTTCAATCATGAGTCCATATGGGCTCGTGGGCTTGGCCAGCCAAGTGGGATAAGAAACAACAACAACTTTAAAAAAATTACATGATAGATATTTTTTTGAAAGACCTTTAGGTTCTCATGAAAGATTAAAACATCCTACAGATTCCGTTTTTAGTATATTAAGCAAAGCAAAAATTTAAATTTTATTCGATGTTTTTAAATTTATTGAAAATTAAGACATTATGTGAAAAGGTACTCATCTGAAGGCCCTGTCTATATCTTTATTTATTTCATGCCCCATCAAAGACATTAACCATTGGCTAATGTCTGTTTCAAAAGTTTTTCATGTGGTATATGGGATAGACAAAAACATGGTGCATTTTAAAATTGAGTTCAAAAAATAGCTTCTAGCTTATTGCTAGATAATTCCTTAAAATGCTCAAATCTGCTTGGATCTACATATGTTTGTGAAGAAATGCGGTCCCCTTCGTTAGTTATACCTATCTATTTCCGCTTTTAATCTCTAGATGTCGTCAAGTGTCACGGTCGTATCGATGCACACAATAGTAATTGTAGCAATTGAACCAGCGAATTTAGCAAGCGTATGCTCGCTCAGAGAGCGTACTCGGCGACTAGTCTAGAAATTATAGATAATGGCAGGAAAATTAAAACGCTTTTGGCCTTTGGTACTTACTGGAGTAAACAGTATGGCCCTAAGGCTGGAAAGTTTGGAGACCCCTGCTCTATACATTTAGTATTACCTAGCGTGTCATTGCAACATCATATATAAGTTGTCTTGTATAAGATCTGTGGTATATGTAACGATCAAATAATGCAAACAAAAAAGTAAATGAATTTGTATCAGCCAACGTATTTACGAAACTAGATACAGCAACCCCTCGCATGGGTACTGGTTTGGGAATAATTTTGCTTTTGGCCGTACCTGACACCATCTGTAAAAACTAGGCTACTTCATGGTTTTATTTTACCCATAAAATTATAGGCATTAGTGTTTTTAAAAGCGCAGTTTCTCATTTCCTTGATCATTTTTTGTTTTTCTTGTCCCTGACCACTTTTAATGTTTCTCATTGGTTTTTATATTTATTTTTATTAAATTTTTTTCACAGCCTATTCTTATTGATTTATTTAAATTTCTTTCACGAGATAATATTTAATGTAAAATTATTCTGAAAGATCATCTGGTGAAAGTAGAGATAAATTTATTTCAAAGTGAAAAAGAAGATTTTTCAAGAAAAGAAAATCTTCAGAATTCCATATTTTTCAAATTTCTTACGTTTTCTGTTATTCATTGTGTTCTTATATCTTCTTCTTCAAATGCAGCTGGCAAATAGACCGTGATCTCTTATGCCGTAAGGGCTGCACCGACGTTACTCACTTTGCACTACCCAGGGGGCGCGTATAACTTGATGGTAAGCCACGGACGCGGAGCAACAATGCCCCCGTAACGCTCTACTAGGACCGGGACCTACGGTTTAAAGTGGATTCCGAACCACTCCAAACATCCATGGCACCTCCGGGACTCGAACCCGAAACCTGTGGTACAGAGCGCTAGCCACTCGGCATTCAGGCCCTTTATCTTATATATGTAAGCAAGTGTTTTCAACTATGAACTAAAATTTCCGCCAAAATTATTAAAGTTGTTGATAGAAAATGCGCCAGTCTAGTAGAATGTGATAAATTTTGATTCAATAATTTAAAACAGAAGTAATAGTTAGGCATGAAACGGAATAATTAATTAATTTTTTTTTTCTAATGCAGCTGGCAAACAGACATGGACGTCTTGGATGCCTTAAGGCAAGTGCTGCACAGACGCACTCCCTTTGCATTTCCCATGGGGCGCGTGTAACTTGATGGTAAGCAACGGACGCGGAGGAACAATGCCCCCGCAACGCTCTACTAGGACCGGGACCTACGGTTTAAAGTGGATTCCGAACCACTACAAACATCCATGGCAACGCCGGGGATTTGAACCCGATACCCGTGGTACCGGGTGCCAGAGCGCTAGCCACTCGGCCACGCTTGTTCTTACATTAAATTCTAAATTCTAAATTTTAAGGATAATTTTAAGGTAAATTGGCCGGGACAATTATTTTTTTTATTATTATTATTCTGAGGTTGTTTATGTTTTCAATATTAATTAATATAATCCAAAATTATTTCGGTTATATATAACATTTATTCACCAAACCGTTTTAAACCAGCCAAATGGAAATATTCTAGAGCTAGTAATGATTTTCTAGAGCTATCATTACTAGCCCTAGAAATGTACTTGCTAGAGCTAGTACATTTCTTTTCAGAAAAAGGCTTGCTTTTAGAAAAATAGTTTCTTGACTTATAATAAATCTTTCTCGATTCGTTTTAGTATTATAAGTATCGTTTAAGTTATGTAATACTACAATTATTGGTTTATTTTAGTAAAACATGAAAGTTGCAAAACAGCTTTTATTATTAGATATCACTTGACCAATAGCAACTTTCTCGTACTCGAAAGACTCGAGAATAAAAATATTCGTATGATCTCTGATGCACCCTGGTATTTCAGAAATAATGATATTCGGCACTCTCTTGATATTCCTAGTTTCCGCGCATTCGTCGAGAAACTTGCAAAAAACTTTTATGACTCCGTTTCCCGATCCACTAACACTGTTCTAAGTGATTTAAAAATAGACCACTATGACGATAACTCTATCCAGAAATCGCAAAAGACGGCTCTTAACATTAACAAATAATTTCTTTTTGTTGCATTTTGTTATTGGATTTATCATCAGTGCTTATTCCTTTAATTTCTTTTAATATTTTTGCTTATGGGGTCATTTTGTTTTTTATTCTCTTTGTATTTTTACTCTTCTATTCAGCCAACGGCCATACCATGCTGAATATACCGGTTCTCGTTAGATCACCGAAGTCAAGCATCATTGGGCGCGGTCAGTACTTGGGTGGGTGATCGACCACCTGCGGAACACCGCGTGCCGTTGGCATTCTCACATTTTTGGGACCTGAATGGCCGAGTGTCTAGCGCTCTGGCGCTTGGTGCCACAGGTTTCGGATTCGAATTCCAGCAGTGCCATGGATGTTTGTAGTGGTTCGGAATCCACTTTAAGCCGTAGGTCCCGGTCTCCTATGACTGTAAAGAGCGTCACGGAGCCAAAGTCAGACTTCTACCTACGGGGTGCTCCATCATAACAGAAGGTGCTTCCTTCCCCTTCAATCATGAGTACGTATGGGCTCGTGGATAAGAAAAACAACAACAACTCTTCTATTGTAACTTTGACTTTCTGTCTTAATTGTAATGTTTTTGTTCTCTGATGTTAGAAATTATTATTCCTTCTCTGATTTAATTTTTCTTACAAATGGCAAAGGGCTCGACCACAAGTTCACTATTCGCCAAGTAGAGGTGTGGTCGCTGCGCGACCAAGGCACTCCATCAAATCACCAATAATATATATCAATAACAGGGCCTGAATGGCCGATTGGCTAACGCTCTGGCGCTCGGTACCACAGGTTTCGGGTTGGAATCCCGGCGGTGTCATGGATGTGTGTAGTGGTTCGGAAGCCACTTTAAGCTGTAGATCCTTGTCCTAATGAGATCGTAGAGCGTTGCGGGGACATTGTTACTCCGCGTCCGTGGCTTATCTTCAAGTTGCACGCGCCCCCTGGGTAATGCAAAGTGAGTAACGTCTGTGCAGCGCTTACCTTAAACGGACAGATGTCCAGCTGCATTAGAAAGAAAAAGAAAAAAATATATTCTGGTAGAGAATTTAGGGTACAGAAGCAAATGAAATCTAGCGCTCTGTTCATCAGTGCTATAGGTTTCGGGATCGAGTCCCGGCGGGTCCACTTTAAATCTTAGGTCCCGGTCTAATATGGCTGTTGGCCGTAGGGCTGACAACTCTAGCCCGTAAAAAGAAAACGTTGCGCCAATGATGGTGATGAAACAAATGAAATACAGTTTTCTCGAATATGGATAAACTAGTTAAGAAAATAAACTCATTACCCCTGGGTAATGCAAAGTGAGTAATGTCTGTGCAGCGCTTGCCTTAAGGCATCCAAGGCTGTGTTTGCAAGATGTTTGCCAGCTGCATTAGAACAAAAAAAAAACTATATACATTCAAGAGCCAAAACATTATGACCACCTGTCAATAACGAGTTGGCCCACCTTTGGCGCGCAACACAGCTTCAACCCGCCTTGGCATGGATTAATACCACCACTTTAATACCAGTTAAATACCACTTCCACCTGATCACGTGCATTCCACGTCATCCAGGCGAGTTCATTGCAAAATGTAGGGGCGGTCATAATGTTTTGGCTCTTGAGTGTATATACCAATAATAGATATCACTTGATCCTTACCTTATCAGAGGGCTATGTCCGCCCGATTATACAGGGCGCACTTAATGTCATGTTTGGTGACCACCTTGCGCCGGTCACGCTTTGTCACCGAGCGCGCGGTGGCCCACAAGTTATCCAGATACTCCTTCACTCGGGGACTGCTCTGCACGGGAACCTTGTTGGTGAGGACTGCACCCGGGTATTCCTGGCGCAGTTCCTCAACAACCTCTTTGAACAGTTCCCTGTTCAGAGTCAGGTCTCTCTGAAATGGATGGACAAAAACCCTTATTAGATATAATACTGTGGTTCCCCAATTTATATTTAAAGGTGGGCTGACAAGTTCCTAGGCTGACACATAGATGGATTTACTAGTATTAAATCCATATGAGTTAGCAACGAATTGATGATTCTAAGCAGTGTTTGGAGCTGTTCAATCGTTATAAACCCGAATTTTTGCGTCGATATGGGACAATGGGGGAAACATGGCTCCATCATTTCACACCGGAGTCCAATCGACAGTCGGCCGAGTGGACTGCACGTGATGAACACTGAAAATGCTATATCTCACATACTAACAGTGCAACCACTGTCAAATTTATACACGTGCCTTTTGAAGGTTAGGACTAAATAAAAATCATATGGATTTAACACTAGTAGCGCCATCTATGTATCAGCCTACAAACTTTTCAGCTCACCTGTTAATACGCAAATTATATACATCATTAGATTACAAATGTGTAAATTAAATGTAATTTCTGGATTATAAGCCATTTGGGAATTAAGTTGCGATACAATAATAATAAAAAAATTCAAATATCTCAATTTTTTCACTAAGTGCTAATGCAAAATCCACTTTTGTTTTTTAAAGGGCTTCAACGGAAATGCAGGAAAGGAATGATGGTAACATCAAAGGTCAATATTCAAAAACAGATGTTTAAAAATTATTGGACTGAAATTGTAAATTTCAAAACTCTATTTTAAAACACATGCTCATCACATCTAAATATTTTTTTTTACCTTGACAGATGCATTTTATTTGTACCAAGTTAATATACAGTAAACGATTGATGAATTGCTACCATTATTTAATAAATAAATTAAATTATTTATTAAATTAAATCTAAAAATCGTTTAAATAATTTATTGACATAATGTATTGTCATTCAAATTCTTATATTAAAACTATCCCATTCGAGTGTCTTTATGTGGGAAGGCTTGCGAGTTTAGATATTACAAAAAATTAATTTTGAAGAAACAGAACACTTACGGGTCGACCGGGCCTCCTAGTAGGGGCAGGCTTCTGCAATAATATATAAAAAAAAAAAACAGCGTAAGTTTGATAACATTCCAAATATTAATCCAATAAAAATATCTTTTTAAGTTAAATTTGAACATAATATTAATCAAAATATTTAATGTAGATATTTTTAAAGTTAAATTAGTAACATTGAATGTAAAAACATGAGACTACTTAAAATAGTGACTTTCAAACGACAGACTCTACAGTATTAAAAAAATAAAATATAAAAAAAACACACAAACATTTGTTTAATAAAAACACATTAATTATTTTTTTATGTCCATAGACTTAGCAAAATTACTTATAATTAATTTTCAGTCAGTCAGTTTGTAATTTTCGGAATTCCTTGGCCCCGCATGGGCCTAACTCCTGTCTGCAAAGTAGGAAGCTTGGTAGGTAAAGTTCATGAAATAAAAGTCAAAGCAGCAAGTGACCAAGTCTGTCCCAGTTCAAAGTAAGTTTAAAAGAGCAACGGGAAAAATGTATATAAATATATATTTTTCTAATAATATAATTATATAAAAAGAGAGCTTTTAAAATAAAGTACAAATAAAAAGCAAAGATCGAGTAAGAATACACCACAGAATGGAGTTACCTCTGCTAGAAATGATGACTAGACTGAGAGTAAGTCACATGGTGATTTAAAAAACAATAATAAACAACAAAGCAGTAAGTAACCGAGGTCTGTCCCAAATCACCAAATCACAAAATGAAATAAAAGAGCAACGAATAAATCAGAGAATTTCAATAATAAAAATATAAATTAGGAAAAAAGAAATTTAAAGTAAAAGTAAAGAAATAATTAAAAAATAAAAGAAGAAAGCAAAAAAATAAAAAACACCACAGGATGGAGTTACAGCTGCTAGAAATGATGACTAAAGGAACAGGTCAGGGTGCTCCTGACGACTGAGCCAGTTCGTTGCAAGTTGTCGTAGTTGCAAGTTATGTAAGACCGCCCTTGGGCGTTTAGCATTCTCGGGCAACGTGCAACGAGCGTACCGGTTACGGAGTTCCTAGGTGGTTTTAAGAACCACAATACCTCCACATCTTAATTTAGTTAAAATATTTGCACAACATGAATTTACTTAAATTAGAGCATTCTCCGGCAAAGAGAAATCATATCTCGGAAGATTACGAATTTCCTTGTTCGGGATATGGTCAAGATTTGCATAAAATTTTGAATAGAACGGAGGGCAAGACTACGACGAATGTCATCATTTCTAAAGTACCAAGGAAGAATTTGTGATCATGCCCAAAAGTTTATTTTCTAGAGTTTTAATATAATTAATGTGGTACCTTGCAGCAGAACCAAAAACCGGACTCGCATAAGTTATGATGGGACGCATATAGTGCATGTAGATTAGTAATTTATTATCAATTGTATAATTAATTTTGACAATAGTTTGTAATAGTGATTACAAACTGATCAAAATGATTATCCAAGTAAAAAAAATAATCACCAGTTGGCTGGCTTGGGTGGTGCAGGAGTTGTGCTTGCGAGGGAGAGAAAAATGAAAGCACCCTTAAAAAAATAAAGCAATCATTAATACAAAAAAAATAATAATAATAATTAAATAATGACATAAAAGGGTTTTGACTATATGTAAACGTTATAATAAACTGAGGGATTGAATATTAAACATTTTGCAACAGTTCAAATATTTACAATATAATTTTTCACAAAGAGATTCTTGAAGTTTACAAAATGAATGCACAAAATAAGCAAATTTTTATGCAAACTATAATTTGTATTCACCTAATTACCTAGATATAATTTTCTTTGATAATTATTATATTATTATCGTAATAAATTTAGAGACATTGGTTTTACCTTGGATTATTGGATTCCTTTCAAATATGAATTGAGGAATTAAATTTGAAACCATATTTCATTTTAATAACTTTATAACAAATTTAACCACTAACTTACATGCATGTTAAATATTGAATAATTTAATCTTTTTGATAGAATCGACAAATTATTTCCTATTGTCAAATTTTTTAGTCACATCTTTTAAAAATGAAATAATCTCTTGAATTGAAAAGATATGATAATAATATTTTAGGCGAAAAAAAATAAATATGTTAACTATTTAAGACATTCATTTATTTTTTAAATATTCTACATAGCTTTATTCCTTATAACAAATTTAAAAAATATTTAAAACTTTAAGAGGAAACTTTTATGCAATTTCAAGTTTGTGCATAGTGTTTCATTAATAAAATATTAGTATATCAATGAGTTCATATTCAATAAACTAGTTTCATTTTAGTTTACTGTAAATTAAAAAAAAAAAAGATTTATTCAAAACTATATGTATTAAAATAATTTTAAATGTCAACT